ACACACACACACACTGGTGCCCCCACACTTGGTTTTTTAGGGTCATTCTGATTCGCATCTTCGGGTGTTTTAGGTCCTGCCTCTGCTTCCCAGGCTCCCACGACTAGGAGCAAAGGGCACCCGGGGCTCCTCTGTCCTTGAGTTCGACTCACGCCCCAGATCTGAGTGTGCGTCTTCGGGGAGTTGGTTCCACTGAGTTCCCTCTCGCTCCCAAGCCAAGCTACTCAAGAAGGTCTTTGCCAGCTTGAGCTCTACTTTGCGTGGGAGAAGCGAAAGGCACGAATTCCACGGTCTCTCTCCATGGCCCGAAGCTCTCTGCAGAGCCATAGAACAGGGCGGGAGTCGCCGGCCCGGCACCCGCGCTGCTCGCTGCTCAGTGCTCGCTCGCCGCCGCCGGTGTACTTGGAAGCCGAGTTCTGGTTCCGGGCCAGGGCTTTTGCTCGCGACCAACGGCCTTCGAGCCCAGCTCCAGGCAGGGACAAAGAAAAGCACTGCCTGGGGCCACCAGGGGCAGGGCCCACCGGTGGCGCTGTCCGCACCCTGCCACCCACAAGCGCCCCGGACCGCGAGCGCGGCGTCCCCAACACAAACACTGCCCCCGTAGCCCGCCCGAAGGCCCGGTCTCTCTCCCCCTGTTCCTCTTTGTTCACATTGTCTTGGACTCTCAGGTCAAGATGGTGAAAGTTGCTAAGACTTGAGCGCAGCTCCTGACGGCGTGCCAGAGAGATGCAAAGTCCAAAGACCGGAGCCCTGCAGTAGGGAAGCAAATAAAAGGTTTTTTTCTGTGGGAAAAGTCAACCTAAGGCGGTGAAGCCCTAGGGCAGGTCCTACTGGGACCAGTGGGTTTTACCCCAAAGACGAAGGTAGCAATGAATTTGCAGATTTCGCGGTTGCTGGAGATGCCCGTCCCTGGAGCGACCTTCCCCTGCCCCCGGGGTAGAAGGCGCTCCCGCAGGGCCCCCGAAGGAGAAGAGAGGAGCCAGGTGACCCTTCCTTCTGTCCACTCCCACACCTCTTTGCCGCAGTCCGGGGTCACCCGGAGTCCCAGCACTGGCTTCGTGGTCTGGCTTGCAAGTTTCCACTGCAGAAGAACCCTGCCGTGTGGTATTTACAGCAGTCTCATCCTCGGTGTTCGAGAGCTGACTGTAACATTAACTGCTCGGTGGCGGATACAAGAAGCTGGGAGGAAGTGACACTTCTCATAAACTATTAGAGTAGCTTGCATTAATCACCCCAGGTCGCCAACAGCCTTGTGTTAAGCGGGGACTCTGCTAAACCCCTTGGTACAAAGTGCCAGGTTGATTTAAAAAAAAAAAAAAATGGTAGGAGAGATCGAGAGAATGAAAAACAAGAAGGTGCTGTGTAAAGGGCTGGAGAACAGGGAGCAGACATTTGCAGAGGACTGAACTGGGTCGTTTTCCACCAGCTGTCTCCAACCACGTTCTTTCTGTCTGAATTTAGCCTGTTCTCCTGCGAGCAAAGACCATTTCCGCCTCTGGGTCCTGAAGCATCCTGTCCCTTTAAAAGTGATGCAGCAGTGAGAAAGAGTAAAGTAGCTGACCCAGCACTTTTGCAGTGTGCTCTTGCCTTCTCGTTCCCACTGCAGTCATTTAGTTCGCTTTTCATCTGCATCCCTACCTCCTGCCTCCGGTGGCGGCAAGCCCCTTCTTGGCCCCCTGCCCCTTTGCTTGCCCATCGGCTTACATGTGGTCCTTTCCCTGCCTAGTGATAGAAAGGATGACCTTGCTATCTCCCTGACCTTATTACATTTTTCCCAGGCACTCACCCCACGCCCGCTCGTGGCTAACCTCTTCAAGGTTGCTTCAGAGTTGCACCATAACTGCATTCAGGTTCTAGAATGTTTCACCAGCACTCTTCAGTCCTTACAATAAAATGGTGCTGTGGCTTTCTAGGTACACCTGTCTGGGTGACAGACTTACGAATAAAAGAAAAGCAACATAAAGCAGGCACCACTTATATGCCTCCTATAGCCCTCCATGCATTTCTGCACATGGGGCGTTCAGTCAGTTCTAAACCCCAATCTCTCTGATGGTCTCTCTCCTCCAAGGGCCTTAATCCCTCCCCTTTGTCCTTTCTTTCCCCCAACCCCTGACCACTGGATTCTATCAGGTCTGACACTTGCCTTTCCTGCTATCACTGTAGTGCCTGGGCCCAGACTGGAGTAAGTGATGAGAAGTCAAGGGAACTATGACAATGAATGAGCACCCCAAGAGTCCACAGATCTGTAACACGGGATCCAGCATACCTCCTCTCACTGCTGCTGTGCACCCTGGCTTAAATGCATGCGTGTAAGTGCTCCACACATTTGAGTGGCCATTTGTCCTCTTCACCTGCTCTTGTTTTGTTCATTAATTTGTGTGTCCTATATTGGTTTTGTGCACACCTACACACACACACACACACAATCAGCACATACTCTCTCGTTCCCTTCCAGTAAGAATAACTGCATATCCAGGCCACAACCCTTCATTTTCTAGCTCCTCCATTCTCCCATCCCCAGCCTCCAACCCTGCGATCTACTCATGACATGGGGTGAAAGGCAGGTGGTTTGGGTTCCCGGCCTGACCTCATGGAAAAGTTTGAACTTGGTAGGGCCTGGAACCATTGCAACAAGCCCTGGCCTGCTGCCAGTGGGACAGACACTCCAAGTGCTCTCATGCCTTAGCCATTTTACTCTCAAAACTGATTTTGTAATGTCAATACTGTTTTGTCACTTTTTTTTTTGGTTTGGTTTTTCAAGACAGGGTTTCTCCGTGAAGCCCTAACTATCCTCAAACTCAGTTTGTAGATCATACTAGCCTTGAGCTCACAAAGATCTGCCTGTCTCTGCCTTCCAGTTGCTGGAATTAAAGGCACGTTCCACCATGCCTGGCTTTGTCAAATTTTTCCTAATGAGGTTGTGGTTTATGAAGATTGAGTAATATATCATCCCATTGCTAACAAATGGTAAAGCCAAGTTCATACACCTCAGAGCCCCATGGCACAACACTACCTATATTATAAGAGATGACTTTCCTGGGCATAATGGTGCACACCTATAATCACAGCAGTCAAGGTTGAAACTAGATTATTGTGAGTTCAAAGCCACTCTATAGCTTAAAAAGAACAAAAACCAGCCCTTGTGAGTAACAAAGTAAATATATGGGCATAAATAATGAGTACATGTACTTAACAACCTGTTATTCTGAATATATGTAACTCACTTAGATTATATATATATACAGTTACAGCCAGACATGATGGCACACAACTATAATCCCAGTGCTCAGAAAGCAGAGGCAGACAGATCTCTGTGAGTTCGAGGCCAATCTGGTCTACAGAGTGAGTGCCAGGACAGCCAGGGCTACAGGAAGAAAAACAAACAAAAAAACAGATCCAGTTACAACAGGAGGGAAAGGATAAGAGGGAGAAGAGCCCCAGAAACAATGTTTTAAAGATGTGCAGAAACCATCTGAAGAATGTTTTCAAATCTCCCTGTGGCCACAGAAGACTTGAACAAATAAAAGGACGTGGTTTTCCTAAATAGAAAAGAAAATCCCAATTTTGAAAATATATAATCCTTCCTAATCTAAAGGCTTACCATGATTACAATAAAAATGCCAACACATTGTTTTATTAGCCACATTGATGCTAAAGATAATAATGCAAATTCAACTGGCAAATTTTTGACAAAAACAGAAGTTAACTGAGGTTAACTAGTCATACAATAATTTCAAGTACTTTTAAATTCCAGTAAATAAAACACAGCATTACCATATAAATAACTGAATAGAGCGGCAATAGTCTATAAATTTCTTAATAAATCTGAGAATTTTTACATATTAGAATTTAATATAAGATAATTAATGAGGCAAATGAACTAGTTAGCAACTGGTCCTAAAAGAACTGAAGAGGCATCTAGGAGAAACAGAGTTTTCCTTCACACTTGAAATGAGGCTAGAATTCAAATGGATCAAATGCTTAAGTGGAAATTTAAATTGCAACAAGTACTAAAAGAAACAATGGAGAAATCCCTTTACACTCCGAGTGGAAAAGCCTTTCTAATTGAATTGCAGAATTCAAATGCCCGAAAAAGAATACTAAAAAATACAACCACACACAAAATATAGTTCCACAAGAAGAAACCAAATTCAGAAGTTAAAAGGTGGAACAGAGCCCGGCAGTGGTGGCACATGCCTTTAATCCCAACATTCGGGAGGCAGAGGCAGGTGGATCTCTGTGAGTTTGAGGTCAGCCTGGTCTACAAGAGCTTGTTCCAGAACAAGCTCCAAAGAAACACTGTCTCAAAAGAACAAAAAAAAAAAAAGAAAAAAAAAGAAAAAAAAAAGAATGATAAATAAATAAATAGGTAGGTAGGTAGAACAGAACAAACTGTGCATATCAAGTTGAAGGACTGATTTTTCTATCTATGAACAACCTAAACATAATTAAGAAGCAAACAGCTCTGCTGGGCACAGTGACACTTGCCTGGAATCCCAGCACATGGGAGGTGGAGGTAAAGGCATCAGGAGTTCAAGGCCTGACCTAGTAGTTCAAGGCCAGATGGCCGGATGAGACCCTTTCTTAACAGGCCAAACTAATAATAGTAACAGCAATGATGGTGGTGGTGGTGGTGGTAATAGCAATGATGATCTGGTGTGACGGTGGTGGTGGTGTCAATAACAATTGTGGCGTGGCGTGACAATGGTGGTGGTGGTGGTAATAATAACAACAATGGTGGTCTGGTGTGACGGTGGTGGTGGTGTTAATAACAATGATGGTCTGGCATGACGGTGGTGGAGGTGATAATGACAGTGATGATCTGGTGTATGTCTGATACATGATTCCGGAAGTCATCACTCCCATCCGCAGAGGAAAAAGGATGAGCAGACTAAAAATCAAGAATTCATCTTAAGGCCCCAGAAAACTGAGGTCCTGAGACAGACTGCTGGGGAGCCGGGCAGACAGACATAGAGTTAATACTTCCAAAGCAGAAGAGAGGGGAAGCAACCTACACCTGGAGCCAAGGTAAGTATAGTTCCTTCAAACTGTAATTCCCGAAGGCTCAGTATGAATACGTGTAACAGTTAAGACATCGTATGGGGTCTAGAATCGGGGGACACACCCCCTTTCCCTTATTTCCAGATGCTCTCTCAGGTTCCCACTGTGGAGGTCGGAAAAAGAATCCTTCTTACTTGCTTTGGAGGAGAGAGATCCCATTTTGGAATACACCCGGAACTCCAGTTTCCTGTGTCTGAGGAAACTGTTTGAGCCCAGCCTACCCCAGCTGGGAATGGAGATACCCAATGCTAACACCCCCTGCTCTCCAAATCCCTGCCTCAGGTTCGTTAAACAGACAGGTCTCACCGTAGCAATACTGAAGCCATCCCTCCTCCATGCCTGGGATGGCTAGTTTTAATCATCAGTGTAACACAATCTAGATTTGAGTTCCAGATGAAAAGATGTCTAGAGAATAGGTATTAGTAACACTGACGACATAAAAAGAAACCTCACAGTCTGCACAATGCAGCCACTTCGCTTCTCAAACCCAGCAAACACTGAGCAGTCTTTAACAGCAGTGGTGCCCCATGTCTGAAACTCCAGCAACTCCCTGGAAGAAGTGGTTTTTACCCTCTGGACGCTTCCTTCCCAGAGAAAACGCCTCATCCCTGTTTCCTTCCATTCTTCCATTCCTTTCCCCAACAGAACATTAATCTCCTCTCAGGCCCCACGGACATAGTTAATAGTATTTTCTTCATTTGTTTACAACTCTGAGTGTTTCTAACACCATTAATGAAGTCCTAAGTTTAATGACACCCGTCTGGATCTGAAATGGCCCCTCTCAGCTGGAAGCTGTGGAGAGGCCATGAAACGGGCGAAGAAGTGAGTCCTCTGCAGATGCATGATAGCAGGGGCAGCCTTTGAAGATTCCTGAGTTAGGCCTTGGTTTTCCGATTCGTGTCTCTGTGCACAGCTACAGCCCGGCATCACCCCGGGCATTTCTGTACAGTAAAACCTTACAAAGGCCTTGAAACTAGGAGGTAGAACTTTATGGTGGAGGTCTCAGTCCACATATACATGGCCCTCGATTCCATCACCAGGCTGACGTCAAAAAGAAGTCTTTCTTCGAGCTTTTTCAAATGTGTCGTGTATTGTTGTCCTCCATAGACAGACTACTACGCCATTTTACAGGGCTACCATGGTGTTAAAGGTCTTGCACTTCGTTCTCTATCGAATTTGTTCCATTCCCTGCGAGGGGCTTGAGTGAACTGGGGCACCTGAATCAGCAGGGATTCCCTGACCCCAAGTCATCTGAACATGATGTGCTCCGGAGAGCTTAGAGAACACTTCTGAGTTCTCCCAAGGCCTGATATGTCTCTACACTCCCCCTAACTTAAAGACATAAAAATAAGTAGAAAATTATTCATCAGGCCAGACAACACAGGCTTCAGCATGCTTGCGCTCACCAGCCTTTGGTGTAGGAGAGTCTTCTTTCTGTGTATTGCTTGGTCAAATAAAGAAACTGCCTTGGCTTTTTGATAAGGCAGAATTTAGATAGGTGGAGTAGACCAAACAAAATGCTGGGAGAAAGAAAGCAGAGTCAAGCAGATGCCATGGCTCTCCTCTCCAAGACAGATGCTGGTTAGACTCATGCCGGTAAGTCACAGTCAAGTGGCAATACACATTAATGGAGATGGGTTAAACTACTATGTGAGAGTTATCCAATAAGAGACTAGATATAATGGGCCAGGCAGTGTTTAAATTAATACAGTTTCCATGTAATTATTTCGGGGTATAAGCTAGCCAGGCGGACGGGAGCTGGGCAGCAGGAAGCTGCCTGTCATTCCTTTTACAACAAACCTTAGCTTAGAGAAGTGCATGAATATGGATCTGAGTGGAGAGTTAAAGTTACAACGGGAGAACCACTTTAGAATGTAACAACGACAAAGTCACAAGCCCTCAGGCACCACTTTGTACTGGGTGGCAGCTTAAAGAAAGTATGCAACCAAAATCAGCATCTCAAATTTCCCTAGGCTACATATTCCAGCAAAAAGGAGTACATTAATTCTATCAATTATGCTATCATGGTAACTCAGTTACTATCCCAGCTTCTCAGTGTTACAGAACCATTGTACAGTTTACCAAGGTAACCTTTTAAAGAGACAGTGCAACTTTCTTTTGTTTGTTGTTTGGGTTGGGTTGGGTTTTTTGACACAGAGTCTCACTACACAGCTCAAGCTCATCTGGAATACTTTCTTAAAACTTCTGCATCCTGATTTCTAGGAAGTATGAATTTCTGGTGTGCACCACACCCCACTAAGAACATACAACACCTTTCTGTATCTTCTTCTAAATAGCTTTTTATAATTTAACGAATCCCACTCGGCCTTTATCCTACTGGTCACCACAGTGTATACGGTAGCCAGGAAGAGATCTAGAAAGCACCTATCCTCCAAACTCCCCAAAGTTGGCTATGACTTAAAGAAAGGAAACAAGAGGAGTCAAGGGGGAAAGGAAGGGAGTCTATTCGTGAGCTAGTCAGACCCAGGAGCTACCTAGCGAGCCATTTACAGTATCCGGTCAGGAATTACTGAGTAGCACGGGCTCAGAGACAATGCCCAGAGTACTGCTCCATACCAGACAGACGCCACCAGGATATCGCTATTTGCAGTGCATAGGGACCTCTGGAAGGTGACGAAGTGATGTGGGATTGAAAATGCCAACAGTGACGCCCCTTCTGCACTGTCCTCCACAGTATTGCAGCTTGACCCTACAGGATGTAAATGGCCTGTCACTAGCTGACTTCACGGCGACACCGTGTGTTTCGGTGTGTTGACTACACAGTGAAAAGGCAACGAGACGTTCCTGGTGCTCCTAAGTCTACCCAAATGTGAAGGAGAGTGTACACTTTGAGTCCTTTCCCCTTAAAAGCTGTAAGATCCAAGAGGCCATGCCCATTATTAATCATTAAATATTTCCCTGACAGTGGCTCAGTTGCTTGCATGGATAAGTCCTTCAGCTTGGGTTAGGTGACCTGTGTCCAAGGACTCACTTGTGTGGATTTCAAACATTACATTAGTCGACGGCCAAGGCAAAGCCCCAAACTCCATGACCTTTTCCCCAACAAAAATTATTGTCCTCTGAAATCAATGGAAATATGTACACAGCAGTGAGATGTCAATTAAACTGTAGAGCTTGAGTCCAGCCTTCATAGTGAAACCCTGTCTCAAAAGAAAAAAAATGTGAGTGAGGAAGAAGAGGAGGAGGAGAAGAGGAAGATAATGGAGGGCAAGGAGAGAAATCGGTAAAAAGAGGAGCGCGAACTAGATCGTGTTCTTCAGAAAGCCTCCCATCAGGCAGACTAAGCTAGCCCCATAGGAACGTGGGAATCAGGGCTAGCCCAGAGATGTGCTCAAAGCCTGAACTCCATCCCTGGCACTGCAAAAATGTAAATGAAAGGAAATAGTCCCCAAACCATTTCCCCTCCTGTACGATGGGTTGTTTCCAGGATTAGAAAGAAAGATGAGTGTAAAATAAAGTGTCTAGTCCCAAATGGGTTCCAAAAATATTTTGTGAAGATACAACTTATTAATAAGCACACATTAATTTTACCAAAACAGTAAACTTTTTTAGTAGGGAAAAAAGGGAATGATATTTATGAAGATAAAATAATAACAGGAAAGAAAGTAAAGAAGTCATTTGAATATAGTATAAATAACACTACACAAACCCCACCGAAGCCTGGGGTTCAGGAGGCAAGTCCAAAGTAGACAACAGATCATGAATTTATTGCTGCGTTTGTCCCATCTCCTAGACTTTCAATAGGGTGATGATAATGGTGTTTCTGAAGCTACATGGTACTTTTTTCATAGCAATTTACCCACTTCCTAGCAGAAAGATCCTGTTGTGTATCCTCTAGAGCTGTTCGCAATGACCCCAAAGAATGATTTTATTCACCTCATCATTTATGAAGAGCCAAGAGCCCGCCTGCAGAAGGAAAGCAAAACAAACAAAGGGGTCCCGCCCTCATTATGTCCTGTGACAATAACGATGGTGGAAACGTTCACATCAATGTGAGCATAAGCCCCTTTGAATATTTAGGGTGACTGTATCAGGACTTCTACCAGGGTAGCAGGGACAGGGGGCAAGGGAAGGGCAAGTGAGTCAGATTTGCTGAAGGCAGTCCTGACTAGGCAGATCTAATGTCCATAGGGTCAGCCTGAGGGTTGGCGACTGGAGACAGGGCCCTATCCTGCCATCCACGAGTGGAATGTCTCCTTCCTCAGATAACCTCCCATTCTCTTTGTGGTGTCCTTTGAAAGCTGACTGTCCCCCACAACAATGTATCAGTTAAAGCTGGTGACACTATTACAGGTGAAGAAAGTTGTGCTTTTCTGTTGCTGTAATAAAATACCACGGCCAAAACAGCTGAAAACCAAGGCGTTCTAGAAAAAGGAGTCTGTTTTCAGTGTCTGGGTGCAGAGGGCTAAGAGTCCATCATGGAAGGAGAGTATGGCAGCAAGCAGGGGACACAGCAGCCAGAGCAGGATGGCAGGAGCTCTCAGAGAGAGAACCGACAGTTGTCCCCAGGTTCTCACTCACAAAGCCCACCCCCAGTGACATAACTCCTCCAGCAAGGCCATACCACCTAAGCCTCCTAAACCAAACAGCACCACAGACTGGGGACCATGTGTTCCAAATAACTGAGCCCGTGGGCGACATTCTTTTGAGACACCACAGAAGTCTCTAGTTGGAAGAAGTGCATCACTACAGGCAAGTCCTTAAAGGGAGTAGCAGGCTTTCAGGATTCCAGCCCTACCCTTTCCCTGGCCCTGAGAACAGCTTGCTCACTGCCACTGTGTTCTGCCTCACTACACGCTCAGAAACGAGTTAGCCTGGTGAGCATGAACTGAAAACTCTGAAGCCAGGAGCCAAACATAAAGATTTGTTACGTGAAGCTGTTTTTCTTAGAGATTTTGTGTTCATGAAATAAAGCTAAGCAGAATATCTTTCAACTGAGAGAATGTGCCCAAAAAAATTATCCAGAACATTGTTTCTCAACCTGTGGATCTCAACCCCTTGGGGGGAGTCAAATGACCCTTTCACAGGGTTGCCTAAGACCATCAGAAAAACACAGGTACTTTGTAACATGAGCGGGGCCTGCTTGTTGGGGTTTCTGTTCTGCCCAGTTCCCCACAGCCGGCAAGCCCCAAAGAAAATCACACAGAGATCTCCATAAGATTATAAAACTGATTGGTCCATTAGCTCAGGCTACTTATTAGCTCTTGTAGCTTATATTAACCCATTATTCTTATCTATGTTAGCCACATGGCTCAGTACCTTTTCCAGCAGGGCAGGTCACACATTGCTTCTCAGTGGTCTGGGCAGGACTGCGGAGGGAGCTTCCTGCTTCCCAGAATACTCCTGTTCTCATTGCTCTGCCTCTACTTCCTGTCTGATTGACCCACCTATACTTCCTGCCTGGCCAATCAGCATTTATTTAAAACATGATTCACAGAATTCAGACAATTCTCCTGCACCAATACTTATACTACCATTCATAACAATAGCAAAATTATAGTTATAAACTAACAATGAAAATAATTTTATGGTTAGGGGTCACTACAACAGGAACTGTATTAAAGGGTCAAAGCATTAGGAAAGTTGGGAACTACTAATCCAGAATGATCTACCTTACTTAAAGCCAACTGGTTATCCATGTTGATTGCCCCCAACTAAGCATGTGTTTGATTGGATCACTGGGGTTGCCATTTTATGGAAGACATCAAATAGATCCTCATAGCCACTCAATATCTCTTCATTATTTTCTCCTGTTTCCTGGTTTATCTAAAGTCAGAAATGGTAGCATAAATCTTTAAGCCTAATACTCAGGCGGTTGAGGCAAGAGTCAGCCAGGGCTACATGGCAAGAGCCTACTTTGAAAGGTCAGAAAACATCAATGAAAGTCACTCATGTCTCGCTTCATTTCGGGCCACACTGAATACAGTCCTCTCAGGATAGATGCCATGCTTTTTTCTTTCTTCCTAAGGGCAGCCTGACATAATCTTCCATCATTAAAAGCAAACAACAACAACAACAGAAACCTCTGTTGGTAGAAAGCACCTTAAATGAGGGCAGCATTCCTTATTTGCACAGGCTTTAGTTTCAACCCTGATTTTAGAAAGATACAATTCATAACAGACGCTGGAAAATATGACAGTAGAGACAAACTTTGTGTCCTATTGACTGTAACCTCAAATGGGAGGAGGCAAAGTATGGAGCGTGGCCTTGATTTTCACACTATGGATTCCAAATTCTTTGTGACCCTTGTTTTCACTGGTCAATCTCTTGTTTAAAGTTATTTTATCTTCAGCCCCTCCTGATTTACATAACTGACCTCATTTGTGCCATCGGCTGTTTGCCATTGTTTAAACAGGGCTATTTGACTCCCACAAGAAAATCCAACCACTGACTAGATGGTACATTTGGTCTCACGACTGGGAGCATCATGAAGATAGAGGTCAGTGGTGACACCAAATGTCCTCTGGGGCACAGGACAGACCACTGTTCCCTAGAATGTCTGTTGTGCTGATCCTGAGACACTCTAATGTAGATCAGAAATTTGAGACATCTGTCACAAACTTCAATTACTTTCTAAAACTCTAGATCTATGAAGGAAGTAATAATTAAAAAAGGCTAGAAAGATAATGAACATCATGGGGTTTTTACCTGTACTCACTGGTTTTGTTACATGAAGAAAATCAATACGATATATAGATATAGATATAGATATAGATATAGATGCAAAACTGTGAAGAGAGAGAGATTTACTACAAAGAACAGGCCTTTAATCACAGAGGTTGATAAATCCAAAATCTTTAGAGCCAGAGTCCCAGTTCAAGGCGTAGGCAAGAAGCAATTGTTGAGCCAGAAAGAGTCTGAGTCCTACTCCAAAGGTCACCAGGCAGGTGCAAAGGTCACCAGGCAGGTACAAAGGTCGCCAGGCAGGAAAATTTGCTCAACCTCAGGTCAGCCTTTTATTATCTTTTTTTTTTTTTTAAATAAAGGAAGCCATGGTAGAAAGTAACTGGGAAAGACCATGGTGGAATCCTGTAAGACAGGCTTTCATTCTCTTCAACTGATTGGATAAAGCTCACTCACTTTCGAGAAAACCATCTGTTGTTCTCAATCTGTAGTTTTAAATGTTAATTTCATCCAAAACATTCTCTCAGAAATACCCAGGGTAACATTTGACCGAATATCTAGGCAACCTCGGGGAACAGGCAAACTGAACATAAAATTAAGCATAACACACCCGAGGACAGTAGGAAACATCAGGAAGATCAGGAGTTTATGCTTAATCCAAGAATGGTGGCAAATACCTATAATCCCAGCACTTAAGAGACAGAGTTCAAGGCCTGTCTGAGCTACACAGCAAGTGCCAGGTCACTCAGGGCTGTATAGCATGACTCTGCCTCGGTTCTTTTAAACATCTAATAAACAAGGAATTGAAAGACTGATGCTAAAATATTATCAATTATTATTTGCATCATGGAAGATAATCAGTTAATGCTACAGGAAAGTTTCTGGCTCTGGAATCATATGCACAATTCTTCTGGAACCTTGAACTGTAACATACTTCACACCAGAATTCAGAATCACTTAGGGCTCTCATGCCCTTCTTTGCCAGAACCAAGAAGCCGAATCAAGAGTGTGGAAGGAACCTTTGTGATCAAAATAATGAAAGACCCTAAGAATGACAACTAGCAGGGCTGGGTGTGGAGCTCAGGGCAGAGTATTTTCCTAGCATGCGTGAGCCATGGTTTGAGCTGTCACTGGGGGCGGGGGGCGGAGGGAGGTTAACTTGTGAAATTCACAATTGCAAACTATATATCCTCTAAAAAATGACAATAATCTAAATTATTTAAGAAACCTTCTTTTTATTTAGACACTCCAAATATTGAGCAATTAAATAGCAAGCTAGGATT